ATTTCGAAAAAAAATAGACATTGCTTAGATATCTTCTACATTTGATAGCTTATGTTAAGTTCAGTATTTGTTTGGTTTTTTTTTAAAAAAAATTTGTGTAGGGAGCGTTCAAAAATAACGTAAGGGACTGGGGGGGGGGGGGGGGGCAATCGTCACAAGGGTCTCATGTCAGTGTGGGGGGTCAAAAGCAAGCCTTATTAAGGTTTCTGAAACGCGCTAAAAGGGGTTTAAAAAGTGGGAATTTCTTTTTTTATGCCATATGTTTGCGCTTATTTTATTGTGGCCAAATGCCCTTTTTTGATTTTTGGTTATGAACCCATGCTTTTGCAATAAAAGCAGTGCCATCTTAAATCAGAAATTTGATTGATTTCTGCCTCCAAAACCGCTGTCTTAGGCTATCTCGTCTTATGCACAAAACACGTAAAAAAACAGAAAAAAAACGTTTTGAGGTTTTTTTGGGGATTTTTTTGGCGAAAACTTCACGTTAATTTGGGGGGGGGGGGTCCGCCCTAACGTAATTCGCGAACGCTTCCGTAGCATAGGCCGTTAATTTAAAGCCAGTAAGTACAGGATTTTCTACGGGTTCGTTTTGATCATACAACGGCCTGCCTCATTATCGTGTGAGGTTGTCTTACATGGCATTGGTTCTTGTTCTTTGTGTTGCTAGAAACGCATTATATCTGGTCACGTTCAAAGACATTCAGAGTGAATTCGTGGCGGTTCGTCGCAACAAACTCCACTTTTCAATTCTGTGGCTGTCGGACATAACAGCGTATCTACTATGGGCTTCCCCTGTGAGCATACGTTGTTATGTCAGATGACCACTCAATTACAGGATGTACTAGGTGCCCCGATCGTTACGGGAGACGTGTGAGGTCTGTTTCGAGCTGCCGGATGGCGGGGCCGTAGATGCTCTCCGTGTCGACTGGGACGAACGGGCCGATGCCGTTGTACTTGGCCAGCACCTCAAAAGTCGACTGCGCAGACTTGGCGAGGGCGTGCCACGTGTCGAGGTTGTCCTGCAGCCGAAAGAGGCAGTTGTTTCAATCAATGTTCGGATTTTTTTTTTTTTTTTTTTGGGGGGGGGGGAGAGCTCAGTCTTCATTTGCGGCACTGCGGGCTCACAGTGCCTAAAAGCTACGGAAAATTCTGTAAATGGCTTGTGGTTATTCTCCGTAGCCGTAGCCTCCCTTGTCTATATTCTCCGTAGGACCTTACAGTATTCTCCGTTGGACCGTACAATCCTCTCCGTAGGTCTATACAGTCTTCTAGGTGCTGTGGATGACTTTACAGTCTTCCAGGTCCTGCGTAGAAGACTGTACGGTTCTGCGGAGAAGACTACGACAGTGTGCTCAGCACAGCGTGTACTTTCAAATCTACTCCGACGAGAGTGTTCTCAACACAACAACGAGTGTGTGCACGGAGCCTGGAAATATATGCAGTTGAGTTCACGCTCGTAAGAGTGTGCTCGTGAGCACACCCTCGTGAGAGTGTGCGCTAAAGAAAGTGTACTCATCAGTACACGCTGAAGAGAGTGTACTCGTGAGTACACGCTCAACAGAGTACTGAGTACCGTAGAACGGGGTAATATGAGACAAATTTCGAGTTTTTTTTTTGTGAATTTCCCCCTTACAATTTCAATTTGAGGTACTGAGGTGTCCATCACTTGTTCATTGACCCTTCGGCTACACTCGCACCAAATTTCAGATTTTTAGGTGCAGTAGGGACCTTTCAATAACCCTCGGAATGCCGTCCCATATTTCCCTGCAATGTGGGGTAATATGAGACAAAAGAAAGAAATGTTAAAGAAGTATGGATAATTAAATCATTTAGGCGGGGTTTTGGGGCTTTTTAAGTTCTTTTTATTCATTGTAAAGATGATTGGAAACTATAATGGAGACGATATAAAATCTGGAGGGGACAAAAATGGGTGTCACTAAAGAGAGCCGAAAAATGTATAAGAAGTCATGAGTTGTGCCTGTCACATGAAAATACTAAACGAAGAGCATAGATGCCGGTCAGATAGTAAAACAAATTCGTGTTAAAATCATTATTACTTGAAATTATTAACAGTGGAGTATGTTTGGCCTCATGTTTCAAGCGAAAAGAGGTGTCTCTATTTTCCCTGCAAGGTAACAAAATTGTATTCCATCTGGAACAGGCAGCCCGAGAGTAGACATAACGGAACCAAATTTTGTCCCGATTATGTTGACATAATTGCCTACAGATTTAAACCTCGTTCGGACGAGAACCCAAGTTCTAACCGAGGTTTCTGGGGAGGTTTTTACTAACTTTATAAAACTTGTTAAAATTAAGAGGTTTTTCGTTTGGTTCTTAATAATCCTGGTGAATCTGTGATTGCCTTCGTGCGTTTCCTGTGAGCTGCCACGGCCTCCTAGATCACGAAAAAAAAATCACGGTGGTCTTCTGAACAACCGCTAGAGAGCAACACGACGAAAACCGAAAAAAGTGCGCTTTGTCTCGATTTTCCTTCATGTCTCATATTACCCCGTTCTACGGTACTTTGTTGGGTTTGCAGAGATACTGGAAGATCCTGCGGAGAAAATTGGTAAGGGAGCTACGGAGAATCTTGGCAAAACCAATTAACAGAATGTTTCCTACCTTTTTGCCAGTTCTAAACGTCGCCACAACGTCCCGACAAAGCAAAATGCACCAATAAATTACTTAGTAGCAAAAAATGAAAGGACGAATTTATTCAGGCTCTCTTTTCGCAAAGAGTGTGGGGTCGTCCACGAAAAATATTGCAGTAACTCAGTTATAATACTATCGCAGTAATCGCAAACTTGGTTGCACTGCACAAATTTCCGGTTAGAGAAATGCAAAATAAATCACATTTAAAATAGAAACTGCCGTTTGCCACTTGCATTCGTCAAAACTTATTGCCTTCAACTTTTTCTGACCCAAAGGGTACTGTTGCGCATTCTCACCTCTTGTACAGAATCTGTGGCTTGGCCCAAAGCGTAGAAGGAGCATGGCACAGTGGTGGCCTCGAGGTTGACATTTTCTGGGGTGCTCCGATTGTATCGCTTCATATTCTCAATGAAGCCATAGTCGAAAAAGGCCATGTACTTAACTGTGCCGAAAGAAGGACCACGGGTTAAAGCAGGTAACCACATATTTGAAAATAAATACAGTAGTGTATTTACTTTTGCCCACTTGTTGCAGATAATACGTCATGGCTCGTATTGATATGCTGTCGATTAAGTTCGCAAATGCATACGGAAAGACTGCCTGGAACACAAATTATTTGGAGTCAAGGTCATTAAACCGAAATGTCATAATCATTGTGGCAGAATAGTTATGCTGATAGCTGATCGTATCTCAAGGCGAAGAGCGTGTTATTGAGTATTAAATAAAGTGTGTTCAGGGGGTGGGAACGGCCAGAGGAGTACGTGCAGAACGTGAATCCGCTCGAGCGAATTCCGGAGTTAACGCTCAAAATCAAGATTTTGAAAACTAGGCCAGTGTTTGCAAAATGCTTTGCACACATCAAAAGAGCATTAAATTTAGGATGCAATAGGCTGCAAAGAGATGCTCAAGTATTTTGAAGACGCTTATTTTCCGCGTGGGTTGAAAGTTTTCTTCCCGATAGAGCGATGAAGGGTGTATCTGATACCTACACCAAAATTTGGGTGAGGAAACTTTCGTAACCCAAATCTGGGTGATGAAAAAAATCCTTGTGTGTCATTCCATCCTACGGTATCTGCACTCGTTTGTGTTTTGGGCACAGGAGCCAGAGGAAACGAAACTGCCCTGAATCGTGAAAATTGCTCACTTGAACTGGCGTGTATCCGTGGCTCCTTTTACTGCAGCAGCACCATGTAGAATTTGTTTCGCTAAAATACCGGTCCTGGACTATCATTAGACCTTCAAACGATTAATGAGCCACAGTCAGCCGTCAGAGTCGATTTTCAAACTTTGTAACTTCCGTGGTAACGAAATTTCCGTGATGAAAACACCCGTTAAAACGTATGTGAATACATGAGGACTCATGTTTTTGGGAAGGTAGTACAAGGTCTTAACTACTATGGATATCGCCATAACTCTAGTACCACCCTAGACCCTACACTGTCAGAAATTTCCGAAAAAAAATATGGAAAAACATCATGTTTTTTCGAAACAAACTCTGGACTTTCTCCGAAAAGTTTCCGAATTTGAACAAAAATGCATGCTTCACTATTAGGAGGTCACGGAAAAAAGTTTGCAACCAGTTATAAAATGAGGGAAAGGTGATCCCCTACTTGTTTACCTCAGTGTTCATAATATTAATGCGCGTAAGGATGGTAGAAAGAGGAAGGAGGGCCTCTAATCTGAAAGTAGATCTGTCTCGTTGAGACCCGATGCGGATTTTAAAGTCCACGACGATCGGCCCCAGGCAATAGGTAGGTAACATTTGATCAAAATGTGGAGCAAATTGGGAGGGGTCGATGTAACGGATTGTGAAAATAGGATGGAATGCCCATTACCCAAATCTAGGTCATAAAAATTACCTCAACCGAAATGTTTAGTCCTAGTTTTAAAACTTTCTCTCGGTCCTGAGGAACGATAAATCGCCTTTTTTCGTGTATGGAATCGTGGTGCACTGGTGACATGGTAGCTTTGGGCAATTTAAACTCACGGAATCCAGCTGGTCCGTTTTTCCCGCAAGTAGTTGCAGCAAGTAGTCGCATGTGATCGGTGAGATGCGACCGCAGAGGTTGTATATTACTGGGTGCACCACAGGGTTCATGAAGGCCAGTTCGTTGTGCAGCGCCACTGCTCCCGCCGCCTGCTCAAAGAAATGAAAAAAGAAACGTTGCGGATGGAACAGTGTCTTTGGGCACCATGATGCTGGGGAGCAACGCGGACGGGTCCGACAAGTTGCTGCCTACTGGCAAGGCGGAGAAGCCCCGATGCTTCGCTGGTATAAGGCAATTTTCTTGCACTTACACCAACCAGCAAAATGCCTGGATGACAGGGAAGGAATACACAAGCTGGGTAAGAAAATTTGATGCAAGGATGAGAATCGAGAAGCGCAAGGTCCTGCTCTTTGTAGACAACTGTCCAGCCCATCCAATCGTCGACGGCCTGACCAACACCGAAGAGGTGGACATGGGAATCATCAAGAACTTTAAGCATCATAACAGAACCAGGCTTGTCCAGCCAAGCGCCTTATCAATTTTATAGGAAGAACAAACGTCGAGAAGAAGAACTTCTTCATTAACATGTTCCAATTCCTGCACTATTTAATAGTAAGTTTAACTGCAGACGTCTTGCTGGTCCCCGTACTTGTTTGTTTTAAACTGGTTAGGCCTGAAGGGGCTTGTTAAGTTTCCTAAGTGTGGCATACACTGGGTTGCACAATGTGCGTACCACTCTGCCAAACTCGTTAATCGCAATAACTTTCTCCTGAGGCGACATAAACGGTTCCAATTTTTGGCCCTCACCCCAGGTGATTTGTTACTGTACCGTGAGAAAGTCTCGTCCGAGGGCCATGGCGGTAAATAGTGGGGATCGCAGACGACCGAGGTAGCCGAAAGGAGCGTAGATGTAGCAGCTGGCCAAGAGTCGCTGGTAGCGCTGGCCGTGCACGTGGTTCATGAAGAGCAGGGCGGTGGCGGTCTGGTCCACTCCCATTAACCGCATCCTGGTGCTGCCCGTCTTGTTGGAGACGAACTCCAGCTGGGCCGGCAGGTCGAATGCGCCCCAGTGGTAGGGACTGCAGTGGGAAAGCCCATATTTGTTGGAGAAACGCAGGTGTGGCCACACGCTTAGAACCTTACGAAGTATTTTAAGCATACATTGCACGAACTAATTTACTTTGTTATACGAAGAAATGAGGTAAAAAATCAAATGTGGTTTTTTTAGGGGGGGGGAGATAACGCATCTTTAAAATATAAATTTTAAACAAGTGGCTCAAGTAGCTTTAATGCATTTAAATATGATCCCCTGTTTACGTTTTGCAGCATAGAAGGCCCGTCTGTCGTCCTCGTTTACGAGCTACGGCCGTCTTAAATTGAGTCTGTTACGGCATTGACTTTTGGAACAAATTTTTAAAGCTACCCGCGCACCAAGGCTTGTACAATTTTTGACAAACTAAAGGTGACTTGTATTCCTTTACCTATTTCTTACCTATATCACTGGGAATCCAGGAATGTGACGTCACGTTCGTTTAGACATGAATTGTGTCACGTTCGTTTGAATACTGTGTCACATTCGTTTGAACGTGAATCGGCTGGTCCCGGGACTGGACGAGGCTGGATTCACGTTTAAACGAATGTGACACAGTATTCCAACGAACGTGACACGACTCCCGTCTAAACGAACGTGACGTCACATTCCCGAATTCCCGGTAATCAGCAAGGGCGTTCCCCTTCATTCTATAATTCGTTTTATTTTTTTAATGTCCCAGCTCTTGGATGGGCCCAATTTTCCTTCCGAATTTTAAGGCCTTTCTTTGCTGCTCTTGAAGTTGCTCAGACATCCACGCCGTTTCAGGTGAAAAAGGAAGATTAAGGGAAAACCCATACCGAAATTGAAATCAATTCGCTCATTCATGGATTTGTATTGGCTAGTTAGTCAAAGAAAATGGGCCATAATTGATTCGTGACCCACAATTGGTTTTTTTACATTAAAGTACAAAGTATTTTCTTTGTAAGCTTACGTATGCTCAAGATACTTTGTTATAACAAGCTGCTTTTCTTTGTGATGCCTACAATAGTTGGTAAGGTTTTCTCAGTGAAGGTCTACGTGTCCGTAACATACAAACAAAATCATCCTCTTTAAGATAACGGGTGAAATCGTCCGTATTAAAAGTTAAATCTATTTGTGATTATGTTTGCACAAATCGGTCTATTTTAAGGATACGTGGTGTTTGTTTACTGTGTAGAAACGTCAATTAACATTGTTGAAATGTCGATCAAAGGATGAGAGTGCTGATCTTACTAAAAGTCCCAGAATTCTGAGCTCGTGTCGCGCAGGTGAGTGTGGCCGCGCCCGAACAAATATCCTCGGAAAGTGAACAGCCAGACGTCGAAGCATCGTCGAGCCAGCCGGTACGCTAAAAGCATAGACCCGTAACGAAACGTTTCTTGCAAAAAAAATGCAGAGCATGTTATAATGAATTATAAAGTGGTTAGTAATTGGCAACATCAATTAAGTAATATAAATTTAAATTGGTATTAAGGAAGGGGGACTGGTTCTGTAACATAGTTCGTCGTACATGTCAGTCGCAAGTAAGTATCACTTTCGTGGAACGTTTCCAGAACATAACCCTATTAACGCCCCAAAACACAAATGAAAACTGCTGAAGTGATTACAATGTGTCGTTCAGATTCCTCAGTCATGTCACTATTAAAATACTGACCAAATAAGAAAAGATATCAAGATACATACATATGCCAGGAACCTCAAATGCAACCTCTTTATAATTTTCATAAACGACACCTCAACCTTAAAACTCCATTGCGACCCATCTCTCTTTGCCGACGACACTAACATCTTCTACTGTGGCTCATCTTCTAAAGAAATTATAGATCAAATGGGGGCGGACTTCCTCACTATCAAAAAATGGCTACGCTTAAAGAAGCTTTTCATGAATGCTGATAAAACCAGCAACATCATCTTCAAATAACCCGGATCCTCTCCAGAAGAAGATGCCACTCTCAAACTGGACAACGAGGAGATCAGCATGTCTAAGAATGTTAAATTCCTTGGGTTGATCATGGATGAGCACCTAACGTAAATCAATATTTTCGGAAAAGTGACTTCAACACAGCCCACGGACGAACAGCATAATAGTATTAACATTATGGGCTTTAAGGGGGGGACCCTGGTGAAACTTTCAAGTGGGCTTTAAAATAATCCCAGAAAGTTGAAACTTTGCTTAATTATTAGGTTCATTATGGTGAGTTCCCAAAACAAAATTCAATCCAAAATGTTGAACGGTCTATGAGAAAAGTAGCTTTTTAGTGTCTTTCAGAGCGTTGGGGAAAAATCTTCCTGCGTCTTTGATTGGAACGGAAAGTCTTGAAAAATTTTTTGGGTTATCCTAAAGATGTATAGAAGAGATTTTAATGACGGAATTTTCAATTTCAACTTCTGTCCTAAGATATGAATTTTCAAATTTTAACATTTGAAAAAGTGATTTTTTTTGCCTATTTTTCAAACTTTTAGGTGTTTGTAAAAAAAATAGTGCTGATATCAAGATTCCGTCACTAAAATTTGTCGAAAAGTCATCAATGAATAGAGTCCATGCAAGACGACTCACGTAGGTGTCAACCAGGAACGCAGGAAGTCTTTCTACGACAAAATTTTTTGTCGACTGAGAAAGTTGTGAAGTTGAGCGTATAAGCCAACGACAACTGATCTCAATGTTATTTCTTTCCATATGATAAAGAAACTACCCACTTAGCTTGAAGGTGTTCAACCTGTTAAATCTGAAACCTTCTGTGCACATTTTTATCTATGAACTTTGAAAACACTATTTTTGGCAATTATGGCCATTTTTTCACCAGGGTCCCCCCTTAAGAATTTACCATCATGAACTGTCATGTACCTCTCAATATTAACTTTCAGTGACCATAACACCAAGCCTCGGAACAAATTATCCTTATCCTCAAAAAGTTACTTGGAAAAAACCGTCTAAAGTTACGGAGATGAAAACAAGCAATTTAGGGGTCAGATTACCACCTGCGTGAAACTCACACATCCTCCGCGACGTTCAATTTTAAATTTTTAACATACCGTCTGGCCGAGTGATGGTGACTTGAGTACGGAAACGTTCCTCGCCAGAAATATACCTAGACTGTTTTCTTTAACGTAGATGAAGGTAGCCGCATTGGACAGGAGGCCTGGCGGAATAACCACCACGGCGCGATAGGAGCTGCACTGCCCGCTTCGAATCCGAAAGACTCCAAGAATGTAGCCGTCGGCAGTTGTCACGTTGTAGGCCTCCCCGACAAAGCCCATCTTCTCCGCCTCAATGTTCTGCAATAAGTCGCTAAACTTCATCAAACACGTTCTGAAATTTTAGTGGTGAGACATCTGATCAGCTTTAGGCGATAGACTCAAATGTTCTTATGGATTTCTCCCTCCGTGTTACACCCGGGTGGGAAGGACTGCAGTTCATACTAAATCCCAACTACAGTCTGAAACTGAAGTGCCCAAACTGTAGTGAATAATGCAAACGAAGTGCATTATGAAAATACAGATCGCCATGTAAGGTAAAAAATCAATTGTGGGTCACATTTTTGAAAATTCCAATTTAAGGCCTTTAATTTTGACCTGGTGACAAAACTGCATGTGCGGCCTTTAACTATGGTCCTTGGACTACGTTTTGCAGCATAGTAGCCCCGTCTATCATCCATATTTACTAAGCTGTGGCTGTTTTAAAAATAGTCTGTTTTGGCCCACAATTGATTTTTGGAACCAGTTGTGGGTCAGCATTGTACAAAGCTCAAATTTGGATATGATTTGCTTAAATGCGAGAGGAATTCACTTTTGAATTTATTTTTCGGAATCGTAAAAACTGCAGGATCTGTAGCACAATGAATCAATTCTGGGTCATATCAATTGTGGGCCATTTCGTCTTTTTGCTTGTAAATTGACCACTTTTGCAAGATATTTTCTTATTTTTATTAATAAAAGGTCCCTGGTTCTCAATAAACCAAGCAGGCACGTTTTTCACTCAAAGAGGAAAAATACATAAACCGACATAAAGAGGCTTATTTCACTGTGAGACAGATGTGAGTTAAACGTCCTGGACTAGAGACGAAACTTTTATAGTGCATATTCTAGGGCCGCCGGCGTGGTAGACAATCCAACACCACACCCTGTCATCGTGAGGTATTGCTACAGTTTATAATCTACTTCAGTCAGAATATTTAGTCTGTAGGGATTGATTTCACTCCTACAGGGCCGTACTGGCCTCGGGTGCCTAGCCTGCAGTTAGAGAGCGGTCCCCTTCCGGGCGCTATGTAAGCCCCGCAATGCCCCCTTCCCAACAAAAAAAGCCTTATGGCGGACTGGAAGTAAGAGCTAACGTTGTCATTCGGGGCTGTAGCCTAAGCTTAACAACCTTCGTATCGTAGTACTATATGTGACTGAGCAGAAAATGGAATTTACTGTGATACATCCGTCATTCAGAAGCGCAGAAAACAAAAAATATAAGAAAAACTACCGCAAAATTCGTCAAAAATAATGGGTCGGACATGGTAGCGAACGCTACTTTGCCGTCACCCGCGCACCATGGCATCGAATGATTTCGGCTGTACTATGGTAAATTTATGTTCCCTGACCTATTATGAACCTAAATCAGCAAGGACGTCCAGTTTTACCTCGTAATAGCTTCACGGTGGCAATTTGAAAAACAAACGATTTTTCGGCTCGTTGGATGGGCGCTTTTTTCGTGACTTTTTGAAGGGCCTTCCTTTGAAGCCTGATAGGAGCTGTTACAGTCGTCGCTCGGACATACACGCTATTTGGGGAGACAAAGAAAGGTTGGAGGAAGGTCTACCGCGAAAGTCAATTCGATTCAATCTCCGCCGGGGTTGCGGTGACCCGTCGAAAAAAATGACCCACAATTGATTCGTGACCCACAATTGATTTTTTACCTTAGACTGGAAAGTAGACAAATACATACGTGAACTATTATTATCAAAGCATAGTTTCGACTGCAGTTTAGAAGAAGCGTTCTAAGCGGTTTCCCGGCAAGTGCATTTTATGTGTAGCTCAACTGCAGAAAAACTGTAGTTCATCTGAACAGTCGTTGCGGCGGGAGGCCTTGTCATGTGGTCGGGGCATCGCACGCTCGTCCCCACGGGCGCTCACCAGCGTAGTGGATAACACAACAACTCCACAACACAAAAGACCCAGGATCGAATCCCAGCACTGACATTACACTTTCACAATTCTAAGCTACGAAACATATCATGAGAGGAAGGGGGCACAGGAGAGGGGCATAGGAGGAAAAAAAAAGAGACGGAATGTCAAAAAATTTTGATTTTTGAGCTTTGCATTGTTCAGTACATTTATGATTGTAATGGTGGTTGTAGTTAAAATACGTTTTGGAGCTGTATTTTAAAGAACGATTTCAACTAGATTCAAAACTGCAGAAAAACTGCAAATGTCCGAAAAACTACCACTTTCCCAGTACATAAACTGCAGTTGAACTGTAGTTAACTATAATTTAACAGTAGTTTGAGCAGTTTAAGTGCAGTTGGAATGCAGCTGGACTGCAATGACCTAACTGCAGTCCAAGTACTATTACTTTACATTTAAAATGTACTTGTGATCAGTAGATTAACTTTAATCCATGCACAAATAGACAACAAATGTCTTACAGTTTAAGTAGTGTAACCGAGTGTAACATCTAACACCTGCATTTTCGAAATGTAAACGAAAGTATAATCCTTTCCACCCGGGAAGATTTTTGATCCGAAAACAAGTTTGTGGATGCTTATGTCCGTGGTGAACGGATTGCTGCCGTGATGTACGCTGTAGTCTGTACTTATCCGTCATTCCCAGGTTAAAGTTCAACTTTTGAGCACCGGCGCCAAAAACTCGAACCATTGCTTGCTTGCAGTACAATGAAAACGTAATGGTCGGACACATGGCCAAATTATGGCGTGACAAAAAGTCACGCCAAAAATTGGCGTGACACGATACTCACGCCGATAGACGGCGTGACACGATACTCACGCCGATAGACGGCGTGACATGTGCGTCACGCCGTTATTTGACATGAATGACAACGCGTTTTAAGAGACAAGTCACGCCAAAAAGCGGCGTGACACGAAATTCACACCAAAAATTGGCGTGAATTTTTGAGTCACGCCGATTTTTGGCGTGACTTTTCTGTCATGCCGTTTGTTGGCGTGACACTTTATTCACGCTCACGCCCCTGCAGCGGCACGAAGTCACGCCGATAGATTTTCAGTGTAAACAGTATTGGAACTTGTTCCTTGTCACCCAAACATCATTTCAACAGAATATGGCTTGCCTAATCAAACTTTAATTACGAAAAAAAAAACCTAAAACAAAACAAAAAACACGCTGTTTCCGTTCTGTGCATGGTCGAGGTATAAAAAATTCTCCCCGAGCTCCATACTACCCTAGGATGAGGAACTGTGGATATCGCAGTTCTAAATAGAGCACGAGTGGCGGGGTCGGGAAGGGGATGTCCAAGAACGGACGCAAATTGCTGTAAGTTCTTCTATCCCCGCTTCCTACCAAACGAGAAATGTCGAAAGCGTGTGGTACACGGAAACTTCAGGGCTGCATACCCAAAGTAGAGGCCGAAGCACGTGGAAAGTAAGATTGGTAGTTTACGGACTGGGACCAAAACATAAAATTTTCCGCCATCTCTCATCTGTAAGATCCGTCATTATTTTGATAGTTTTTATAGGGGTGAAAAGTGAAAATGAAGTTGAGGCGCGCGTTAGACTTGAGGGTTATCTTGGGGTACTCAAGCTGCTATTCGGACCAAAATTGGCCCCGAAATGAAAGTTTCATTTTTCAAATTTGAAGCACTCAGAGTGCGTCCATACGCGCGGAATCACCCCCCCCCCCCCTTTTCCCCCAGGCCGAGTCTTGATCTGCCCCTGTCTCTTGGCCACTTGTGGAAGGGTGCATCGCATTCACTTCCGAATATTTCATAATTGATGAATTTTGTCTTTGTTCAGTCCGAACGGGGTGAAGGAGATATCCCAAATCCAAGAAGATGTCCGGTTGAGCCTCGGGTTGAGCGCCCTACCTCAAAACGGGGGTGAGGAGTCTTTAAAGGGTCCAAAGACAACCGCTTACCGGTCGGAGGAATGGGGGCACTGGCAGCTTTGCCTCAGCCAGGACACCAAACAGGGCCGACAGGTTCGTCACTATGTCCGAGGAAAACTGCGTGAAGTTGTTCTGTAGCAGCGCTGACTGCAGGAGCGGGTTGAGCGTCGACGTGTAAGGGGACACCTTGGCGATCAACGCGAAGGGGATGGGCAGTAGGCCGGCGGCACCTTCGGCCACTGGGCCCACGAGGCCTTCAATCACTGGCAACAACGGAGCACACTTAGTTTCAAATTTGGTATTTTGTGGGTTGGGTGACAGCATTACAAATCCAAAGGTCAGGTGAGACTTCTCGACACTCCAGGAGGTGAGCCATGAAGTCTCGCCAAGTTTCGGGCGACACATCGGGGGGTCCTATACAAAAGATCTTATCTGGGCGTTCCCCCAAGACAATCTTATCCAATCTTATCTTAAACGCAGGCGACTTTCACTCAGCTTGATCATTTGATACAGCTACAAACCAATATAATTTGTTATTAAACTCACTGAAATGAGAAGATGAAAGATCAAAGAATGCAATAGTGCATGTGGAAATATATTCGGCTTACTCTCGTACCCGTTCCAAATGGTCAAACTGAGTGAAATTCGCCTGCGTTTAAGATTGTCTTGGGGGTACGCCCAAATAAGATATTTTGAATAGGTCCCCTCGACATGACCTCAAAAACGGCATGACGAGTGAGTAACGCCGTGATCTGGCGTGAATTCATCGTGAGGAATGATGCTAGAAATGCGTTTGATCGGGAAAGTCATGCCAAAGAACGGTATCACACCGTCTGGACCAAAACCGGCCAAATAATAGAAAGAGTTACTGCATTTTTGAAGCAGTAACTTTTTATTGCTTGCACAAATGCGATAATTTGAAGGAGTCACAGCAGCCCTTCAATCAGTGCTTATTGCACGGAACTTATCTCATTACAAAAAAATCAGTGTTGGGCACGAAGTCAATCTTCAGTGCATCACACTACACGGTAAAGACGGTTCCTGGTTTTTCCAGGAGCTCTCTGGAAATCGTGTATGTCTCCACCATAAGCCTCCTCGGAAAACCAGGAGCGTCTTTCACCGTGTAGGAACTCAACGTAGAGCATGGCATGCTCCACCTGGGAGTCAATCACAAAGCACGCTTCATTCTGGAGAGTGTTTGCATTCACACTCTAACCAGGAGCATACTTGGCAAGCACGCTCTAGGGTAGGGTGGAGCATGCTAGTAAGCACTCTTCAGGATGAAACCGTGCCGCTTTGTTGATATGAGACCTCGTAACAGCGACGCAGCACGCATCATACTCCACGCAGGAGCGTGCTTTCAACCACTCTCCAGGACGTAGACCTAACGTGCTTTGCAGTTGACGCCCAAGGGAAACATGCCAAGTATACTCATGAGGATTTCTAGAGTTGGCAATGCTGAAGTAAAACTTGAGAACAGCGTCCGCAACTTCGTGGAGATGTCATGCTTACGTGGATCGAAAGGGCCTGCCTGGGACTGGCTGACTGCAGTGGGAAGCGTCCAGACTACTAGCAGCAAGGCCAAGGGTATCATGGCCCATGTCTTGACGGTGGCCATTCTCGGCCTGTAATAGAAGAGTGTTAGGTTCGTGCCACTTCCACAGCCTGCCGATGGCGTTTACACGTACGGGCGGTCTAGTTACGACCACATTGAGACCTAACGTGTGGGTGTGGTTACCGCATTCTAACCCACGCACACATGTGGTAAGAATTACACCGCTTCAAGTGGTGTACAAGCCAATAATTCAGCCGTTACCTCATGTATTGCGTGGTCAAGACCACCCTTTTATGATATGAGGTATTGAGGACTGACCACATATTTGCTGTGGTATTCACCATGAATTTTATGTGATACTTTGCTGACCACTGACCTTAAGGGGTATTGACCGCTTTTCCACGTGTGGTAAATTTGGGTAAACACAGTTTTGCGCCTACCACACGTATCTGTAGTCTGTACCACACGTGGAAGGACTGTACAAAGAAACTTGGCCAAAAAAGTTAAGAAGTTGTATTTGGCGTGTAACACTTAATTCCCTGATGCTAGAAACTTATCTTTTCGGACCTCAGTTAAGGAAGGCATACGAAAACCAGTGGTTAATCCAAACTAATTCCTTTGCAGGCTGCGGAGCCTCCGGTTCGTTTGTAGCTACAGTCAATGTTCTTTGTAGGAATTCATCAGTGTGCATGTCTCGAAGGATAGGCACCACTGAGACTTCACCAATAAGTGAGATTGTGTGCAGTGCAGCCACTACACAACTCACCTCGAAAAAGACCACCAGTTGGACTGGTTGTTCCACACGGACACTGCAACTAGCACTGGCCCACACCTGAGCCGTTCGGCCACCACTGACAACTTTGTCTGCATACATTTGTTGCTTGGGGGCCCGGGGGGCCGTGATAAGCCCACGCGTCACCTGGTAGGCCCATGAAAGCTGATAACGGCGCTGGGGCGGAGCGCCCCGGCGCAGCCTTCGGTGTAGGTGGTCTGATGAGTGCTCGCAATTCGACTTTTCCAGAAACGGGCGCAAGGGAATTCCATGTTAGATCATCCAGGGCCCCAAAAACCCGATGCCTCAGTTCTTGGCGAAACTTTGTGGGTGTCTCCCTATAGAGCCTCGGGAAAAAATTCAACGTTTTTTATGGGCCCAAAAAGCTGAAAATTAGTAGTGTGCGAAAAATATTGAAACGTTCACTAAAAATTTGTTTCCAGCCCTCGGTCGGCCAACCCATAGCATATCCTTTCTTCTCATCTCACCAAAAAAAAGGGCCCAGAGTGCAACTTCACAAGTCACTTGTTTCGGGAGATAAGGTAAAAAATCAATTGTGGGTCACATTTTTGAAAATTCCAATTTAAGGCCTTTAATTTTGACCTGGTGACAAAACTGCATGTGCGGCCTTTAACTATGGTCCTTGGACTACGTTTTGCAGCATAGTAGCCCCGTCTATCATCCATATTTACTAAGCTGTGTCTGTTTTAAAAATAGTCTGTTTTGGCCCACAATTGATTTTTGGAACCAGTTGTGGGTCAGCATTGTACAAAGCTCAAATTTGGATATGATTTGCTTAAATGCGAGAGGAATTCACTTTTGAATTTATTTTTCGGAATCGTGAAAACTGCAGGATCTGTAGCACAATGAATCAATTCTGGGTCATATCAATTGTGGGCCATTTCGTCTTTTTGCTTGTAAATTGACCACGTTTGCAAGATATTTTCTTATTTTTATTAATAAAAGGTCCCTGGTTCTCAATAAACCAAGCAGGCACGTTTTTCACTCAAAGAGGAAAAATACATAAACCGACATAAACAGGCTTATTTCACTGTGAGACAGATGTGAGTTAAACGTCCTGGACTAGAGACGAAACTTTTATAGTGCATATTCTAGGGCCGCCGGCGTGGTAGACAATCCAACACCACACCCTGTCATCGTGAGGTATTGCTACACACTCTAAAAAAAATTATGAAATTTCATATCCAAAGGAGTCTAAAATTTCATAATCACGTTCTAAACCTCAATTTTTATAACCTTCGTATAAAATTTAAGATCGTGTTATGAAACCTAAGATTTGGGTTATGGATTTTAAGATTAACTGGTTATAAACTTTTAGAACAGAGTGACTTATAACTCTGGTTCTTAAAATCTAGATTTTCGCTTTGAAAGTTTATAACGCTAGCCGATTTTAGAGCAAGGTTCTGAAATTTTTAACCGTTTAGTCCTGCTGCCTAGTCCTTTTTCATGGTTAAATTAATAAGAGGTGAAAGTTTTCATTTTTATCGGCATGTGTTAACATTTCCGAACCGCTAAGGTAGGGTCCTAGGGGCGGTCTACAAACTGAAAACGTACATTTTATGCACTAACTGGAGCCAAGCACGCTTTTGCTAGCGTATGCCTACTACTTTTTAGTGCATACAGTTTTACATTAATGAGAGGTATGGAGAGCTGTCTGCTTCAGTTCGCGTGTACATGGCATGATGCACTAGTTAGTGCATGCTTGGCGGGCATGCGCTTGTTGGAGCGTACTTGCAGGCATGCTCCAGTTAATGCATGTTCAAAATTTGTGTGTAGTATTTCCCAAGAGGCTGCAAATCGCGTCCCTTGCAATGCCTGACCGGGCCCCCGTCCTCCGGGCCGAGCCGAGCCGAGCCGACCCGGGCCCCCCGAGCCGGCCGAGCCGAGCCGCCCCGAGCCGATCGGCGCTGTTTCCCACGGAAAATCACCGCTCGCCGGCCTCCCGGGCCGAAGCCGAAGCTACCTGTCCCCGGGCGGGGGGTCGCGTAATCCCTCGGCCCAGGGGATTTCGGCGACACTGCGTCACTTTTAGTGTGTCTTTGTCTCCAGTGCTGTGCACACGTATCCAGTTCGCGTCCGCGTCACCGCAAGTTCGCGTCATCAATTTTGTTTCGCTATGTACCGTTAGTGCGCGTAGTGCGTAGAGTGCAGTTAAAGTGTTGCTTGTGGTGCCGAACAGCCACCACTCGTGTTCAAGAGTTACAAGCTATTTGGCGACCCTCGGAAAAAAGGGCGTGTTTTCGCCAAAAGCGGTGTTACTGAGTGCTGTTATTCCATCTTCTTAACTGTAGGGCGGGCGATGAACGTGGGGTGGCGTATTATGTCAATTCGCTTCTCCTCTTTCATCCTCGTCCCCAAAGTAGTTTCTGCGTGTCGACCGAGTTTCCCTAAAGTGCATCTGGATCTTATGCACTGCTGCGCCTCTGACTGTTAACAGCGTCGACTGCACTACAGTACAATGCTTATTTCCGTTGGCCAGCTGCAACGATTTGCGAAATACTGAGTGTGAAAAGAAATCATAGCTTTCTGAGATTTCATCATTTGTAACATATTCATTAAGAAAAGGGGTAAAGGTTTTATTTATTATTATTTTTTTTTTATACTTTTGTGGGCAGTAATGAAACTATTATCATGTTTCATAATATTTGGGTTTTAGAGATTCAGAACCAAATGTGAATTTTCAAAACCAATTGATTCTACAAAATTAATAAACTAGTTCTTACATTTCATAAACCACTTCTGAAAGTTTAGAACAGCAAGTTATGAAATTTAAGAACTTTTTGGATATGAAATTTAAGATCCATTGTTCTACAAATAACTTCAAATCCAGATTATGAAATTTAAGAAGCATTTTTTTAGAGTAGTTTATAAACTACTTCAGCAGAAAATTTAGGGCTGAGGGATTGATTCATCCTACAGGGCCGTACTGGCCCCGGGCGCCTAGCCTGCAGTTAGAGAGCGGTCCCCTTTCCGGGCGCTAGTAAACCCGCAATGCCCCCTTCCCCAAAAAAAAAAGCCTTATGGCGGACTGGAAGTAAGAGCTAGCGTTGTCATTCGGGGCTGTAGCCTAAGCTTAACAACCCTTTGTATCGTAGTACTATATGTGACTGAGCAGAAAATGGAAATTACTGTGATACATCCGTCATTCAAAGCGCAGAAAACAAAAAATATAAGAAAAACTACCGCAAATTCGTCAAAAATAATGGGTCGGACAGGTAGCGA